ATTGCCTTGAATTAAAAATTTATATTTCATCACCTTTTCAAAATTCCAATTTTATAATTGCTGAAAGAAATTGAGATTTTTTTCTTTAGGAGTAGGAATATATAATGTAAACGCTCGTATTGATGCGAATGAAAATCATTGAGAGTGATTGAAATATAATGGAATAATTGTTTCATTGTATATGCGAAGACCGAAATATTTGTTTATATATTGATAATTTACTTCTGTAGCCTTCGCTACATTACCTACCCGCGGTAGTGTTTCTACATTACCTGCGGGGCCTAGATCGTACTTCCGTACGGTCGCACTGCGACTACCAGAGTGGGGAGCACTTGGGACTACGTCACACGACGCTTCTCCCACTCTGCACTGGCAGCTATATAAATGCCTACACGAGTTCTCTCAACCAGTTTGTGTTCGGTCTTGCCTTGAGCGCAGAACTACCTGGGTAGCAGCTACCTAGCTCCTTTAGCCTTACCTTCTAGCCATCCTACGCACTCTCTACTGCCTGGACATTCTCTCCTTTCTCAGGATTGAGAAATGGCCATCCCGCTGTACAAGACCGTGCACTCACCGCTATCGGTCCTTTTCCTCCTATTCCCGGACGCAGAGACGGTCGCTCTCTGTTTGTTTCTCCCCTTTATAGGGTTGAGAAGTTAGATTGCAAATCGCTCTCTGCGCTTTGGACGCAAGTCAAATACGTGTCTCTCTGAGACATAATTTGTAGTGTTGGCTCTCTCGACTGACTCTACCCAGTCAGTACGCCACAACGGAATATTTCCCGAGTCGGATTTCGGTCAAGCAGGGTGCAGTATTTGAGGTTGTCATTACTCTCCATCCATTTGTCATCCAAAATACTTACTGTAGAAGTGTTAGAATGTGAGGAACACTGGAAGCATCAGCAATAGTCTCTTTTGCTTTGATTTCACTGTGTCAATAAACACAGTGAAATCAAAGTGAAATCAATTTCACGTTCAACATTTAATTGGACAGTTTGACAGAAAAAAGGGTTATTTCACACATAATTTCAACATGAATCGCTTCGGAGTGGTTTTCCTGAAAGGAATTAATGAATCCATAATTGAGAATGTGCCAATTAAGCACATTAAATGTTGAACGTGAAATGCGTGGAAAGATGAGACATTTGATAATCTACTAATGAATTTCCGTCGGAAATTTTCAAGAAATTTCCCAAATAAAACTCTTTGACGACCTCAAATACTGCACTTTGATTGGCCGAGATCCGACCGAGGGAAATATTCACATCAATTCAATGACTGGAAACAGTAACGCGACAATCGATAAGTCTCCGTGACCTCGAACACCCAATACAGAATATACACAGATATACAGAATAAATACAAAAGAGAGACAAATTCTCACGAAGTCACGAGACCTTAAGATTAAATAAAAACTAAATACAATGCAATGGCGAGGTTTTACCCCTTATCGCGACGAAAATTATTAACCAAAATTCGCGAAACTTTTAAATTCAATAAAAAAAATCATTGACAAAAAAAAATATTTCAATAACATATTCGAGAGTGAGATCGTCACAAAAGTTACTGTTTCGAGTGGCCAGAGATCCCTGATAAAATAATTAATTTAACAGTCCTATAGGACTGCTTTGAATGGTGTATGAAACACCATCCAAAGCAAATTGGATCTCTGCCCACAAAAAAAAAAGTCATAAAGAAAATAAGAGGGCCACCACGCTCATCCAATAAATCCAATTGAATCCTCCAAAAACTTGAGTCTCTCGGCATCTTGTGGATCCTCGGCGATGTCCTCAAATTGGAAGGCGGTGGCGCGCAGTTTAAATTCAAAATTAAAACAAAACAAAATCAAAAACATATTCCCCTCTCCTCTCATTATTTCTCGTCATTGAAGGTGACTTCCCGTCTAGTGGAAGATATTACAGACTGAAAAGTAGTTGCATCTTTCGAATTCATATTTTCCACACTGTGAGTCATCGTTCGGTCTCGTTCTCTATCTTCTTACTGTAACATAACTTTCTCTTTATCGGTTGAAAGTTTTTCGTATATATCTTCTAAGATTATCGGCATTGGTCGATTGAATTCTATTCGGACACGTGCTACAATCTTCTTGTATTTGCTGGTGTACTGCAAACCCATGACACGAAGGACTCTATTAGAAGTATGATGGATTTATTTATATGACTGCTATGAAGAGTATGAAGAATGTTACGTATTCATATACGTTTTTCCCAAAAACAAATGAGAATTCCCAAACGAAGAAAATTTTTCAAATAATAAAATCTTGCATGAGTCGACATGAATATTAATTAGAATATAACGACCTTCTGATCAAGGTTTTGA